GCCAGCCTCTTATTTTTTTTCCGAAGTTTATTTTAGTAAAATATACAGTGACCGACTATCGAGTAGTTACAGAGAACAGGAGCCGACTGTCTCCCCGAGTTGTGCTGTGAGTGTGGGCGGGAGAGCCAGCCTCTTATTTTTTTTCCGAAGTTTATTTTAGTAAAATATACAGTGACCGACTATCGAGTAGTTACAGAGAACAGGAGCCGACTGTCTCCCCGAGTTGTGCTGTGAGTGTGGGCGGGAGAGACCGGGCACTGGCGTAAAGGCTACTGCTAGTGAGACATGCGGCCATTCCTTATATTGTACATATGTCAGGATGTATCAAGTGCAAACTCGCAGCCTCTGGAGAGGGTTTGGGGAGAGGCGAGGGAGGGAGGACCGGGATTCTTGGCAGTGGGAGACAGAAACAGACTGCTCTGGGCCTGGGGCAGAGAGAGAGAGAGAGAAATGGCCTTTGGGCTCTGAGAGGCTTGAGAGGAAGGTGAGGACTGAGTTTGGGTGGCTAAAACTCTGGATCCTGGGGCTCGTTCAGCTCTGGGAAGTGTCTGGAGGGCTTGGGCGGGTAAAGGTGGATCTGGTTTTATCTGACGGGAAGGCCTGTGAGAAAGAGGCAGAAGCTGCACGAGCTTAAGCATCAGTGACAACGTCTGCCAGGATCCGTCTCTTCCCCAATACGTGTTTGGGAGATTCCCCCTGCAGACCCAGGGACTGTTGCTCAGGTTTGGTGCTCTTCTAAGCTTCCCCAATGAGATGGGAGCGTTCAATAACCAGACCCATCCTAGATTACTAAAGGAACTGAAAAGGGGGTCTCCCCAGGGCAGCACCTAGGGTATTTTGGTTGGCACAGAGACAGCTCTGTGGCTCTGCCATGGCCAACAGGAAATCCTGGTGAGACGCTGCATCCCGGCTCCTTAGCAAGTTCCTCCTTTGAGACTGTACGGACTCGGCCCTGGCTTGGATTTTGGGGCTGACTCCCTCTCGGTGGCAGAGCTGCCTCCCACCTCCCGCTGGTCCTGTGACTTGCCCAGCCCTACACGCGCTGATTTCCAGCTGGCTTTTCCAACTCTAGCTTCTTTCAAGGGCGGGTTGCCCAGTGGCCGGTCTCATCTCAGCTGCAGCAATGCCTAAAAATAGTCACGTGTTAAAAACAAAAGCAGCCCCTCAAACCAAGCCTTGTAAAAGTCCCCAGTGGATGGGTGAGATTTCACGCCCTGTTTGACTGAGGCCTTTTGACTGCAGCCTTGAGTGCTGGGCATATTCGGAGGACAGTGGCATAGTGATGGAGGGGGGAGGGGAGCAGTTGCCCCTAGGCGCCATACTAGGGGGGTGCCAGTTTAGCTGCTGGGCCACCTGCTCCCTGCAGAAAAGCTGCTGAGGCAGGGCCGGGCGGCGGGAGTGGGCACTTCAAAGGCCTGCCCAGGAACCCTGGAGCAGAAGCCGCTGCCGCCCCCCCTGCGCCGGTCGGCACTCCGGCCGGGCACGGGACAGAGGCTGGATGGGCACTGTGTAAGTCCTGCTGCTCCCGGGACTGCTGCCCTGGGGCCCTGGTGATGAAGGCAGGAAGAACTGGAGGTGACGGGGGCTGCAGCCCACGTCTCTGGTGGCAACCCAGGAGCGGAGCGAGGCGACCGGGCAGCCCGTGGAGACTTCACTGTGAAGACAACATGACTGGCAGGCGCAAATGTTGCCTTTGCCCCGGGCGCATAACGCCCTCGCTACGCCACTGAGTCGCTGCCCATCAGCTGCAGTGCCACACGAGGTGGGCGAGGTCACGTCTGTGACTGCACCCACTTCTGTTGGTGGAGAGGACACGCCTGAGCCACACGGAGCTCGTCCTCTGATTCGGGCACCTCCCAAGCTTGTCCTCTCGTCAACAGAAGTGGGACGTCTGGCAGATAGTGCCCCCTCACATACTCAGGAACCCACACGGTTACCACAGCTCTGCCCATCCCACAGCAGAGCAGGGTCCCCGTGTAACCCTCACTCCAGCCAACAGAGACTGGAGCCAGGCTACGGAAATCTCAGCCTCAGAACATAGCAGTGAGGACCTGGCTCCACGTCCCATTGGGAAGGGCTGGGGGATTTGTGCTTGTATTTCTTCAGAAAACTCAAATCCTGTTTCTGAGGCAGAGTGCCCCAGTTCCAGTCTCCTGAGCGAAGAGACCGTCCCCTGTCCCGCTGCAGGCGGAGGGACATCCATCCTCCATGAAACCGGGGAGGTGTGCTAGCTTTTGCCTTTGCTTCCCTTCTCTGAGCAAGCGCCCAAGGAAAGTCCCACCCACGGTACTCTACACACCACCCGCCTTTGAATGGACGCTCTTGTGCTTTTCGAACGGAAGTCCTGGAGATGATTCCCAACAGCCAGGGAGGGCTTCTCTTCAGATGCCCGCAAACCAACCTTGCCCCACAGAGAGACATTCAGGCTCCAGGGTCTCGGCGCAGGCGTGAAAACGGATGGAGATCAGTCGCAGTCACGTAGTGAATGGAGCTACGCCAAATCGCGCCAGCTGTGGACCTCACTGGGAATTGCCTCTTGGGCAAGTCACTGCCTGCTCCGTGCCTCAGTTTCCCTTCCCCACCCCTCACATAGATACTGCACCTCCCATTCCTGATGAGATCCAGTAACTGCCCCATTTCCAGGTGCCCAGGTGGCGGTAGCGAGAACTCCACCGCCCACATGCCAACAGCCTTTCCATCCATCCGCCACAGGAGACGTGCTGAGCTAATCCACAAGGCTGGTCTCTTTCCCACAGGTAGCATGTGATGCTGTGCAGCGTATCCTAGGGGAGCGCTATCCAATCGCTCTGCTAGGTCAGACAAAGCCACGAAGCCCCGTCTCTCTCTGTCTCCTCTTGCCCTTCAAGTGAGAATCCGGTCAGGAGCAAACACCATCACCTCCTCTTTTCCTTCATTTTGATTGGTGGGGTTTGTTTTGTTTTGAAATATAAAAAGAGTCCGTTTTGCTTCTCAGTGTGTGTGCTTCACGAGAGAGACAGACAGGAGCGCCCGTCTGCGAGCAGGCCAGGAGGCAGCCATGCTGGGAGAGACGCGGTCGCGTTCTAGATCACATTCTCAAACAGCTGCATGGAGCTCATGATGTTCTCGTCCTGGACGGGGAGGGGAGAGACA